GAAAACCTTAGCATTCATGTGTGAGTGGATCAAAGTGCATTTGGGAGCTTGAAGGGTAATTGTTGAAGGAATCTTGGGAGTTTGGAGGCTTGGAGAAAGGGGCTTTGCTTGGATTCGAGTTTAATTGTAGTAGGGGCGTTCTTTTGAGGTAATATCTCGTTCTTGGGCTGTTACTCATGTGGATTCATCATTTTGGGGTTTATGAGGAGCTTATCTTGGGATGTTTTGGAGTTTGGAGGTTAGATCTGAGGTTGCTACCTCAGATCTGGAATGGGGAAGGTCTAGAGTGTATTAAAGTCCCTGTGTTTGAGTGCTTAGTGAAGCCATCATGTCCCAAACCCTAGCCCTAAAGTGTATAAGGCCTAGTTCTCTTTGGATTCACGTAAAGTTTGCCACTTTATGTGATGGATGGGTTGTAGGAGGCTAGATCTATGTTTTGGATCAATTGCATGGCCTGGAATGCTTCTGTATGGATTCAGACCGGTGGTACTCGGCGAGTCACATGGGTGGACTCGACGAGTTGCTTGAAGATGAGCTGGAACTCGACGAGTTGGATGAACAACTCGGCGAGTGGGTTGAAGATAGCCTTAGACTCGGTGAGTCTGTTCTTGGACTCGACAAGTCTTGTCGAAGAGTCCCAATATTTTCTGGTTGAGTCGAGAATCGGTGAGTCAAGGGATGACTCGGTGAGTTGGGTGCGAGTGGACTCAGAGTTGTTGGACTCGACGAGTCTCGGTGTGACTCGACGAGTTAGGTCGCGGATTGAGGGAAGTTCTGAGCTTGGGGACTCGACGAGTCATTGGGTTGACTCGGCGAGTAGAGTCAGTCAGGGGTTGACTTTGACCTTGTCCATGGGTTGACCAGTTGTCTTCCAGGGGTATTTTGGTAATTAAGGGTATTTATTGAGTTGAGTGTTTTGGTGTTCAGTAGAGGAGTTCGTGTCGGAGTTGGAGCAGCGGGATCTTATCCTTTCAGCCGGCAGTTTCGAGGTGAGTTATCCTCACTATATCAACAGGGTCTAAGGCACCAAGGCCGACCCTTTATCGGATTGAGATCCAGGTATCTGTTGTTATGTTATTGCTTTGATATGTTTGCATCCGAGTAGTTAGGATGATATTCGTTAGAGAACTGGTTAAGGTCGGTATCCTGGTAGATAGGATGATGCTATGCTAGTGACCGGTTAGGTCGGTATCCTGCTAGAGTATGTTGTATTATGTGATCTGCTAGATCGGTTTGCCTGAATATGAATTGTTATGTGATTATATGTTTATGTGCACATGATTGTTTGGACTGGAGTTGGGTTGAGGCGGGTCCTGCTTCGTGTTGTAGGCCAAGATACCCAGGGCGGACCGGTTGTTCCGAAGGCCCAGCGAGCGGTCCGGATAGGCTGTAGGCCCCACGAGGGCGGACCAGACGTGCCGAGGCTCGGAGAGTGGACCAGGTCGATTGAAGGCCCGATGTGGGCGGACCAGTCATACTGTAGACTCAGAGAGTGGACCAGGTGAGTTGAAGGCCCAGTGCGGGCGGACCAACCACACTGTAGACTCAAGGGATATGATTGGACTCAGAGAGTGGACCAGGTGAGTTGAAGGCCCGGTGCGGGCGGACCAACCACACTGCAGACTCGAGGGACATGAATGGACTCGGAGGGTGGACAGGTGGACTGAAGGCCCGACAAGGCAGACCAGTACCACAGTAGACCCGATATGCATGACTATTCTGTGATTCGTTATGAGATAGCATGATATGTGTATGGTATATGTGGTTGGTATTTTGGGGGTATCTCACTAAGCTTTCGGGCTTACACTTGTGGTTTAATGTTTTTCAGGTTCTTTAGGAGACCGTGGCAAGGCAAAGGCGTGATCGTACCGCTCCTCATGATTTTGTAGTAATGTGATTCTGGGAATACTATAAATGATTTGTATTGAAAACCTTTTTGTAATAATTTAATGAAATCGGGTTGTTTTAAAAAAAAATTAAATTGGTTGGATTTTTCGGTTGTTACAAGATCTCACTTACTAACTTGGTTTGAATGCATTCCTTGTTATGAATCTGCTTATGTGTATACTTGATATAACAATTGCTGTCATTTACATTTCTTTACTATTCCGCATCTAACTCACTAACTTCTAACTCTTAATATTATTGTTGAGATAATAGATCATTCGAGATTAACTATTCTGCTATATACTTGTTCTAACATTTTGTTCAAGTGTATCTCAAAGTTTCTCTCTCAACAGTTTCCTTAATCTGTCTCTCTTATTTCCTGACGAGTAGTCACTTTCGTTGAAGCCAGTGGCCCGACCGGTTTTCTCCACTATCGATGAACAAATGTTGGAAGTGGGTGGCGGTTGAGTGGGGACGTCTCCAATGGTAGACTAGCAGTGAGTGATGGTTCGATGACAATGGTGGTCCGACGATGGCGGTGGTTCCGATGACAATGGTGGTCCGGCTGCTGATGGTATTCCGATAGAGAGAAACAAAGATGAAGTTATTAATAATGAGAAAGTGGGTTGGTGGGTTAGTAATAGGTAGGGGTGGGGTTGATTCTTTTTTTATTTATTTAGAAAATTGGTAAACTAAATAAAAAGATGGCAAAATCATCATTATAAAAAAGTTAAAAGAAAAATGATCAAACTCGCAATAAAATAAAAACATTGAACCTCTGGTGCTAGTTCAAACGATTTTGGATCAAAGTTACAATTTTCGGCTAACCATTGTTCGTATAGTTTTGTCTTTTGGTGATAAGCTTAAGAAAACCATCAATTTGAGATCAAATAGTCTTATAAAAGTGTATATTTCACACTACCTTAATCTTATAAGATTGTATCCTAATCCCTTTTTGTACTTTTATAAATTCATATAGCCAAAAATGTTTAATGACACTAAAATACATTTGATTATTATATTCATTAAAGTTTGGAAGAACCAAAAAGACAATAATGGAAACCCACTAAAAGTTGCAGTTTTCTTGCTTAAAGCTAATGTCACCATTATGTTGTAATCAAGACTCCCATGTGATTCAGACCAAAGGTAATGTTCTTATTCTCATAGTTTTGTGGGCTTTGGACCACAACAAGGAATATGAAATAGTGATTGACAAGGAAGAAACACCATGAAACTATCAATCCCAATGCATCAAGACTTTTGCAGTTTCAAAATGATTGAATAAAGTTTCGACTTTCGACTGATTGTTCAAGATGACTAATTGCCGGTGTCAAATTTTAATGTAGTGTGTAACCAGTCTTATTAAATACGTTACTTTATCTAAATATTAACATCTACTAGTAAAAAAGTAAGTTAATCTCTTTTTTTAAGATATAAATATAGAAAAAGAAAAGTAAGAAGAACCATGGGAAAACGTGGGGTCATGTTTATGCTTACAACATGGACAACAAGCACCATGTGCAACCTCCAAAACTCTTTATATATAAATAGTAAAATGATAAAAAAGCAAACCATACAATTACATGAACTTGGACACTTTACGAATCTCCACATGTGGTGTTCATCTCACTTGGGAGAAAAATGGATAAAGAATAGTCAACATATCTAGATAGCTTAAAAATGAATACAAAAAAGAAAGTTAGCTCAACCATCATTTTTTTATAAGCTTTAGTCCCTCACTACAAAATAACCAAATTTGGGGAGTGTATTGATGTGATGAACATCTAATGATTATGACTTCAATTTCGCATGCCTACAAGTTAAAACGAGTTGCATTTACATGCGAATATTTTTTCTTTGCTTTTTTTAAATCCATATGCACTTAATTTATTTTAAAAACGTAAGAAAACAATTATTAGATTAGTTGTTTAATACCAAATTACCAATATGACAAAATTTAACCAAAAGCGGCATGCTGTGGGTATCTTTCAAAGACGTTTCATATATGCCCCTGTAGTTTCAAAAAACTGAATGGCTGGTCTAGATCTTAAATCTAACTTTTGAGTTGTTATTCTTTTTAAACGACCCCATTTGATCAAATTTAAAAAATATATAATAAACTCCATGGGCTATTTTTGTAATTTACTTACAACTTTCAATTTACTCTTTTGCTCAAATTTGGTTTCTTCTTTCAGATTTCATATAAAATTTTGATTTCCCTTAACATGTTCAAATTTGGATCTCCACACATCTCCTGTTAGCGTGCCACCCATCACTACAGATTTAGCTCTAGAATTTGTCTCTACATTTTGATGATCTTCTAGACTGTCCTCCTCTCCTAGATATTTTTAGATGATAAAGCTTCTAATCAAGGCGAATTTATGAAAAAAAAAAAAAAACAAAACAAACTCACTCTAGTGGCGCATTCCATTAACTAAAGATACTACTAAGTATGTATTTAATCAAAAAAATAAAAAACAAAATCAATAGCAACAATTTTGGGAAGGAAATTGCATGTAAGGTTTTTTTTTTTTTTTTCAAAATTAATTTAGAAAATCGATTACATGTTTATTTGTATAAAATCCAATTTTTTATAGACCTGGTTGGATTGAATCACTATGTAAAGTGAATGATACTCTTGAATATGATTTAGGAATGAGATGATGAATTCAATGAATGATTTTTTCTAAAAGATATCCTCAAGATGCTCATTTTCAAAAAGCACAAGGACTATTTCTCAAATTTCTTCCAACAACATTTAATTTTTTTTTTAATTTTTTTTTATTTTTTATAGCTATGATCACTTACCCCTAGCGGAATTATGGGGAGGTTCTAGAAATGAATGTCATCAAATTTACAGTGCTCTTTGCCAAACTCGGAAAGCAGAGATCTCATCGGATGTGAGGTGGCACAATTCTATTGGTCGGTTAAAGCATTTCAATGAATGGTGAGCACGATGCATGCGTGGAAATGTGTCGGGATGTTCCATTTTTATCACCAAGTAGATCTCACTTTAATACCAATTTTGACTTTCAATAACAAAATATTACTTAAAGCCAACAATATATAAACCATTATCATTCCCATGAATCTTTACTTGAACTTTCTCTCTAATGGCGACTCATCTGTTTCTCAAAACGAAAACCAACCTCCAGACGGAATCTTCCCCTCCATTTAGTCAAGAAATGACAAAAGCAATGCATGTTTCCAGCAATTCCACCATCTGGGATGCCGTTAACGGTAGTGCAGGTGGCGGAGGTGGTGGTGGTGGTGGTGGTGGTGCAACTACTTCTTTTCTTCCTGTAAATTTTCTTGAAACCTCCTCACAAGATTCAAGATTGGTGAACCTAAGCCTGGTTATGAATAAAACCGAACCAGAAACCGATTGGGCTAGACTCAGTGAAGAACTCATGAACCATGGTTCGAAGGGTTTAGGTGACTACCGGCTCGGTGGCTCGAAGGCTCAACCGGGGATACGAAATGACAATCCTACCCCTTGGAGGATGAAAAGTTTTGCAAAAAAGACGAAGTTTAGAGGGGTAAGACAACGACATTGGGGGAAATGGGTGGCAGAAATCCGATTACCAAGAAACCGGATGCGGGTTTGGCTTGGGACGTTTAAAACAGCTGAAGAAGCTGCGTTTGCATATGATACAGCTGCGTATATTTTACGTGGCGATTTTGCAAATTTAAATTTCCCGAATTTAAAGAACCAATTAAGGGCGAATTCGGCCAATGGTAACACTGCAGCCCTTCTACACGCCAAGTTACAAGGGATGTCAATGGCGGGTGATGGTGTAGCGCCACCAGTGCCGGAGGTGGGTTCGCCGGAAAAAGATAGGTCGGAAGGTGGATCTGAGGTCGTTTTTGATAAGAACAAGAAAGTGTTAGAATCTATATCATCCGATGTTGTTGACGGGGTTCAGCTTAGCAAGATGCCTTCTTTAGACATGGATATGATATGGGATTCGCTTCTTGATTTGGATTCCTGATTAACATAAGTTGAAACACAATGAATGCGGCCGGATCTGGTTACTCGGATCCCGAGCTCGTGCTACGTTAGAAGTCAGATGTCATAGTTTACGCATAACATCACATGACGTAACCGATTATATAATGTTTCTTTTGCATTGATACCATCATACTCTAGTCAATAAGATGAAAATTGGATTTTTATGTCTCACTCAATCACATGAAATAAAATGAGACATGGATTCGCTCCCTATCTGCCACATCGTTAACATTTGTTATTTTGGGTTTATCTATAAAGTTTCTATGTTGAGTGTAAAGTTTATTTATTAATATATGGCATAATGTTTGTGGAAACATGATTATAATTTAACTTGAGAATTTAGCTACAAAAAATCTTAGAAAACCTTTTGTACTGTTTTCTTGTCCTGCCTTCTTCTTATAGGCATAACCTTTTGTGTTATTTAGGGAGAATTCCGCCTTTGTTAAATATTTAAATATCATATATTCTTCTTATAGACATAACCTTTTGTGTTATTTAGGGAGAATTCCGCCTTTGTTAAATATCTAAATATCATATAATGCGTGGTCTAAATTTCAAATATCATATTTGTCCTTTTTAATGTTTTGTAATATCATATATACCCAAGTCTATTTTTTTAATAATTTTTATTAATTTATAATTCATTTTCACAATCTTAAAGCATTATAATTCAAAAAACTTTGAATGGACAATATTGCCCTTGTTGCTTACTTCCTCAAATCATATTTCCCCTTTCACAAAATCACGATCGAGCCTGATCCTTAATACTTTCGATCATAGCTTCTAATTGTTGCTTCCCCGGTGTCGCACACACTCATCGCGCATCACAAGAATATCTTTTGGCTGTTGTGATGATCGATTGACAGATATCAACTTGAATGGATTATCCCTTTCATGTGGTTTCAACTAAGAGCCTACTCAAGACACATGATACCAGCAAAAAACAACAGAAAAAAACAACATCAGAGCTTGGAGATCGAGTTTCGTTTAGTTAAGTTTTTTCTTTGCATTCAGTTTTCGTTCAATTTTCAATCTTATTGTTCCATTCCTTGATGGAATTGAAAAACATGGGTTTTTTGGAAGTAACAAATGAACCCACGACTAGCCCATTTCATCTGCAAATACCGGAATTGCCCTCAGTTGTGGAATCAAAGAAAATCAACACAAACACGTGTTCGTTACCTGATGCCATCATAATTGTGAACACCCAAAATGTTGATACACATGATAATTTCAAGACAAACCACATACCCAAAAATCATTGCAATCGAGAAAGAATGAGTACAAGTATTTTACAGATATTTGAAGGAGAAGTAAGGAGTACAAGTATTTTACAGACATGTGAACACCCAATATTCTAAACATCTTCAGATGGTGAATCTTCTTCATTCATACCTTCATGCGCTGAAAATATTGCAGCTAGCGAGATCAACAACAACGAAATTGGAGAGATGGAAAATAGGAATATGATTCAATCAATCACCTGATGCTAGCGTGATATGCATACGTGTGCGACAACAGTGTCGAATATGGAGGCTGCGATTGGAAGGAATGATCAACAGGGGCAAAAATGTGAGATAACGTGAGATAGGGAAGTGGCGATGGTAAGTTTCCTGTGAACATGTGTTGTATTGGAAATTAGAAATGAGGGCATTATTGTTCATTTACAATGTTTTGTTAGTTATAATGATTAAAAATTATGGAAAAAAATTATAAATCAATAAAAATTATCGAAAATTTAGATTTGGGCATATATGATATTAAAAAACATTAACAATGACAAATATGATAATTAGAGTTTATATCGGGTAAATACGATATTTAGATCTTTAGCAAGGGCATATACGAAATTCTCCATTGTTTCAAAGAAAATTAAACTATGAAATTCTCATATCAAATTCCGAAAACAGTAACACAAACAACATGGAGAAAATAATTTGCGTGTTTTGTGGCGTTTTAGGAGCTTCTAAGTTTTAGTTTTTAATAATAATAATAATAATA